CCACACACACACACACATTTCCAAGAGATTGACAGAATGCGCAACAACTGGAGTCACTGAAGGAAGCCACAGTTGGGGTCACGTTTGAAGTCATATTTATGACTCCGAGGAACTTGAAACAGGGCGTTCTGATCATTGAGATGCGCGGAGGCATGGGGGAGGGGGGGGGGTTAAACTTTCCGTGTACTTTTATCTCATGATGACGCAACGTGATGACGTACGCTAGTCTATGAGCGCGACACGAGAACGTAGAATCTGTGAGTGAGTCAAAGACAAGGGATAAAAATTCACAACCGTGGGTATGCGTGAGCATAAGAGAATGTTGAACAACAAGAAATGGAATAGTCAATGGCATGACGCTGAATCCCGTTTTTATGACTGAAAACTTCGGAGGTCAGCTGGGCGTGTTTTAAAAAAAAGATAATATGAGGACTGTACAGAATTCTGTTGCACGCCTTCCAGAAATAGATACGCTCTGGAGTCTTCTTTTTGAACTAAGCTAGAATGAGAATTGTCATTTTCTGTAACTAGAGTGTTTACGATCATATAATGATATTATAATGAGCAAGTATTTGCAATCAAAATGTATAACTGCTGGACGGTTGAACTTGTGCTAAGCACCGTTTACCGACAGCCTTATCCCTCCCCTCTCCCCTGGACTGTTGTGCAATTTCTACAGGGCTTTCAAATTGGAGATTGGACTTTGAAGTCATAATATACTTAAATTAATATAATTCAGAATTCTTTTTTAAATTAAAAAAAAAAGAATATCGCACACTTCTGCCCTTCAGTCCTATGTGAAAACAATAAAGTAGAAAGATTGATCATATACTCGATAGAATACAGTCCTTCATGTTTGGAATCGAACTCACGCCAATAGAGTGTCTCAACAAGAGACTAACAATGGACGAACAGACGGTAATACCGCACCAACTCTCCCCTCTCCAAAGCTTTCAATCACAAAGACAAACAGCAGTTGGTCCCGGAAGGGAATTGAAAACACCGAAAAAAACAGAAACAATCCAGAGATAAAACGTTCAGATGACACACATAAGGGACAATTTAAAATATGGAAAGATAAAAAATCACAACTAAGTCATAGAGATCTACTTCATTAGTTACAGGCGTGGCCATGTTAGCAAGAACAGGATGGCGACCTTTGAATTATTGTTCATTGGCATTTGAAGATGTTGAACATAGAATTTGTCCACATGAGCTTTGAAGCTTGGTACAATATTTCTGGCACGAGATGCGGATACGTATCATACCGATAATAAAATGTTATGAGGACATGACTTAGAATGTTACTAAAAGTTAAGAAAGAAAACGGAACGAACAAAAACTCAAACAACTGACATATATGAGGTAAATCATGACAGAAAACGAACATTGAAAAATATGTGACATTTCTGTGCTTTTTTATGGATCTGCATTTGGACACAGATTGTTGGCACATTAGAGTTTTAGGGGGTCATGAACGAATGAATGAATAAATGGATGGATGATAAATGGAAGAATGAGTGAATGGATGATAGATTAATGAACTAACCAGTGGAGGAACGAGCATTAAGATGGACAGATGAATAAATGAATGAGTGTACGAATGATTGAATGATGATGAGGATGATGATGATGATGATGATGATGATGATGATGATGATGATGATGATGATGATGATGATGATGATGATGATGATGATGATGATACCACAGTAAGGGAAAACTTTGATTAAAAAGTCATACATATTCTAAATGAGCTCTGTGTTGAAGTAAGCCGGGCTGCAAATTTGATCCGCGACTGAGAGGGATTCGGTGTTGTATCATTAGAAACGGTATTGTGCTCTATTTTCTCCCAGTACTTCTAGATGGAGGTGGATAGTGGGCAATAGAACTGTTTTAGAAATTGATATATAATTAATGGTAGCAGTTTGCACTTTGCACGCTGCATCATTGCATATCCTCCAGTGCTAAATAAAACCGAACAAACAGGAAGGTTGTGTAGAGATTTACGACTAGGAAGAAACACTTTATACTTTTAACTTCTAATCTTCGTGACATGCAGCTTGATAAAATGCCAAGGGCCAGTCAAAATTGTAACACAACGTGAAAATATGAAGCTACAGGAAAGCTTTTAAACAGGAGTTCCATAAAGGTCATAAAATGATTGCTGCTGTAAATATGACAAGTTACCCAAAGCTGAAATGCAATACTTAGCTCTAGACTAATGACATTCTGGATCGTCGAGAGTAAAGAAATAACAAAGACAAATGCTCTTTATCTCGGATCAGTAAGGAAGTAATGTTTTTTTTTGGTCCAGTGGAATTTAATGTTGAAATTGCTTTTTTAAAGAAAGGTCTACCTGAATTCATTTACCGCGGAAAATTGAGATGAGGAAGAACCTTTCTTCTATGTTCTCTTTTACTATTTATTTATCATTTTGGGGGGATTATATTTATAAATGTAAGACAAATTTTATATGAGAAAATACGAATAAAGTACTCTTTAGTACGCATGTACTACTTGTGTCCAATAGGCCCAACCCACAGTGACAGAAAATATTCATTTTGGTGTTTGGAAGCCTGTGCAAAAATATAGCTCTATTTCACTCTGCCATTTTGTATGCAACTTCTCAGATACAGAACTATGCTCTCGTAATATTAGGACGCACATGTCCCGCACCCTTTCATCAGAACATGAAAGTCTTACACTTTTACAGCCCCTTACAATTACACTAGGATGGAAGCTGTGCCAGCAATGCAATAGTGGTATATTCCGCTGAAAAAATCAATGCGGTTTATATTATCTTTGTTAGAAAATCAAAAGCTGGCCATTTTTTCTAAATATATATTTTTTTTACAAAGATTTAGAAAAATAACAAGCTTTTGATTCTCAAAATCTTTTTCAAAATATACACACTTGGGTTGTACAATTCTGCTACTATTCGGAAACACAATCTTTTGATTAATTGTTAACAATATATTTTGGAATTAGAATCCTCATTGATCAATTGCAGCGTCTGGGCAACTGCAACGTATGTCTACCTCTGGATGGATAAGCGGCAGGCGCTTATTATTCGCTTACACACACTAAAACCGGCTGGTTATGGGTTGTTTATAAATGCAAACAAAAACCACTGTATATTTCTGGGAACAGCTATGGCATATTGCACTTGCATATGTAAACGGACTTGTAAATTAAAACATTCAGCGAAATGAGGTTGACAGTAACCATGGCTTCAAAACTGGGTAGTACTTGAGTCTCCTTCTATAGCCGGCTTATTACAAATATAGAGCAAAGAAGAAATTCCATTTTATGTACACGATATTTGCACGTTACAAATATCCTTGCAATGTTACATATACTTTTCTCATAATAATAATACGTGTTCCCATTTCATTTGTGTGCACGCGTGGTGAAGATTCATGTATTTGTATGTGTGTATGTGTGTGTATGTGTGTGTGTGTGTGTGTGTGTGTGTGTGTGTGTGTGTGTGTGTGTGTGAGTGTGTGTATGCATGTGTACGCGTGGGATGAGTGTGCGCGTATGTTTGCATGTGTA